CCGGTGATATTTTAGCGCATAACCCCTTTAGATGCCAACTAATGGGATTAACAAAAGATTTGAAAGGCAAGACTTTCARCTCACTGATAGGTTGTCACTTTACTTTCTCCCATAGTGGAGCTGGAGCGTTTCATGCCCTCTACCGCACTTGGGTACCTGGGCCTCCCATCCAGACTGGGATGGGAGTCTGGCATAGTCCCTATTTCCATGATCTTTATAGGGACTCCAGCAAAGATGGCAGCAYTGGACTTCTTCAGGAACCTCAGCTTCCTAGTCACAGTTCATCTAAGGAAGCCAAACAGAAGCCTCTGAAGCAGGGCAGGAAAGGCCACATTTCTCCTGGTGCGTAGGAGATCTCCTGGTAGATACTGGGTTATTGGATGGTCTCTGTCTGTCCAACCAGATGCCCTTGCCAGCTTGTGCTTCTTGTGCTTCCTGGACTGAGCGCCACACGTGGGACCAGTGCAGGCGATCCTGAAGTAACAGTGGTTTCTTGTGCTCATCTCCCTTTCTAAGCAGCCCATGGATCTGGACATGGAAAAAGGAGGATTTGAACTACTCTTAAATGGAGTGTGCTATGAAGCTGCTATTCACTAAATACCACTTTATTAAACTCCAGTGTAACTGAAAAAAATTGTTACTGGTGTGTATTTACATTTAGTCTGAGCTGTTTGCAAATCTGTTTTGAAGTAACTGGACTCAACAGGCTCTACGTAAGTTTCGTGCTCTTGTCTGTTACCCTGGCGTGGATTTCAGCATCTCCTTTTCCCTTCCAGACTTTTCTGTGAATGAGCTTGCCCAGTTAAGAAGGGAGGTCGCACAGTCACAAGCCAMCGCTTAAGAATTTATTCTTAATAAAAATAAGTACTTTTACAAAACAGAAAACAATTTGAGTTACTAACCCCTCCTAATATTCTCCTCACRATCAATATTGCACCAGCAGCGTCAAAGAAATCTCTCAGCTGCTTTGATAAAGCAATGGGAATGTCCAGCTGTCCGTGTCACAGCCTGCGGCAGGGTTGGCCGTGATGACCCACGGCCTGTGATACTACCGAGGTCTGGGGAGGGTCCTGCTTCAGCCCCGTGATGAACCTGTGCCCGGCAAGCCTGGTGTGTGCTGAGCAGCACAGAAAATAGAAATTAGAGATTTGCCCCTTACATAGGCATCCTCAGCAAGTTTTGGATGAAACTAATCCATTAGTCTGTCCTATAGCCAGTCCTATCCTCCTGAGAAATAAAATATCTTTACACCTGAAAATCAGTGGTTTGATGACTTAAAGATTTCATAAATTGAATTTTGAAATGTTTCATTTATATGCTTTTTTTATACCAAGAATTACTTTAAAATGAAATAATTTTGAACCAGAAAGTGACTTTCCTTTAGAGAATACTAAAATTCTATATTTCAAACAGTTTCTTTTCAAAGGAGAGGGCTCTTCTTAGAAGATTTGTTGCAATCAACTGCTTGTTGCCTGACATTTSTGTGTGGTCTCCTGAGCATTTTCTAGCAGAAATCAGAGTTGGAGTCTTTCGCAGCAGCTCTCGGTGCTTGTCTTCATCTTGATCAGTTCAGTGTCAGCAGTGTTGTTGCTCGATGGCAAAGGTTTATATGCCGAGAGGTGCTTGTTTGCTCTTAAGATTTCACTTTACATTTTACAAACTCCATAGAAGTCGGGCTTATATTTTCTGATTTTCATGGTAGAGGATACGGGTATCCTCAAGCAATGGGATGCAGCCCCATCCTTCAGATCACTGCTCCTTCATGCTTACTCCTAACAAACAAACAAACAAAAACAGACCTTGGGCTCTGGGGTGATTCTTGTTTTGCCTGTGGCTTTGCAAGGTCAGGCAGCAAATCATGTTTTCTTTGCAGGGTGTGACTTGCTGATTTGTGGCAGTTTGTGTCCTACCCTTACATCTCTTGTTGTTGTTTCTCAGAAATGACTTGCAACTGAAACTCTGATAGATCACRGGTGGGAAGGAGGGTGGGGAGGAACTGGTTGGTTCTTGGTGCAGAGCTGTCCTAACAGGGGGTGGCAACTAGGGGAAATAATAAACTCCTGCCATACCTTAGCAAAGCACCACAACACGCATGTAAACATGTAAAGAGAACAAAAGGTTCTGGATAACAGGGCTTTTATCAGCAAAAATATATTCTGATTTTCTTTAAAAAATCCTCATGAGCCATATTCATCATCTTATGTACGTATGTAACTACCGATAAAGAACCTGGAAAAAATCTGCCTTGTTGCAGTTTTCTAAAAAGTTAATGCTTAACATCAGCTTCACTCTCTTAATATAGAAATAAGTTTTGGAGAAATCAAAGCTTTGCTTTAGTATTTTTAAAACACATTCCAGAACATCATTTCATAACAAGTTTAAACAATCATTAACCCTTTTCACAAGAAGAATTCTAAAATCCTCATCTAAAACATTTTTCTGGATGAGTGGAAGAGGGAAGAAATGACAGGAAAGGCTAMAAGAGAAATGCTAAACATTTTTGAGTCAGGCCAAAATTTTTAGTCTTTTTTTTTTTCTGGCTATAAAAATTACGAAGAAAGTGTGACTATGGAAAATATTAGGTGATAAAACTTGCAGTAAATCTTACCGCAGGGATGTTATGAGGACCGAGCATGGATACCACCTGCTTCATAAGAAGTGCTGCCCGATTTCAGCAAGATTTTAGGCTTTCTGCTGGAGTAAAGCGCAGCCTGGCTAGGCTGGGGTCCAGGCAGGGGCAGAGAGCATTGGTGACCTGCTGCTATGATCAGGGACTGCGAGTCCATTTCTTCAGAGAATAAAATATTCTTGGATATTTAGAAATGTTTAAGAAGTGGCTCATATTCACATACATATTGTGCAACATGTTCCAGGCTGCTGCAAGCCTCCATATTTATGGATAAAACTRTTGCACATTCCTAAGAATTTACTCAGAGACATACGTTATCTAGCAAGCTACAGGAGACCCCTGGTAGCTTGTCTTCTARTAGCAGCGTGTTTGGTATGTTCTCTAGTTTAAAGGAAAACTTAATGCTGATTTGAAAACATTAGTGTATTCCCTCAGTCCCCCGGATTCAATTAACACGACAGGTGGGAAATCAAGATATTGTGGTAATTATTCTTCCGTCTCAAAATCAAGTACCAATTTATATTCCAAGTGCCTCAAATATTGATGTGATAATTTATAGCATCTTTTAATGCTTTTTAATATGAGYTAAATATTCAGAAAGAGCCTAATCTTGCCAGTCCTTGAGATTCACAGCAAAAGGCAAAGCTTGCTCAGCTCAAAGCCAGCCCTGTGACTGCACATGACTATTTAAGTAGCAGAGCTCCCATCTGTGTTTTGATAACACTTTTCATGTTGTCACCATGAAAGACGGTAAAGGTGCTAAAACAGTGGGACTTGCAGGTTTAAATTCTTACCATTCGTGGAAAGTGAAACTTCAGGTCCTTCCTCTGCAGCCGCCGCTTYTAATTCTTGTTGCATCTAGACATCAGCCAGGATTTTGCAAATTAAAAGCAAAGAGAGCTCTGCACAAACTTGCCTATCACAGTCAAACAAGGCACATAAAACTACATGATGCACATTTTAGAAAATACTAAGTATAATTTGTCTGGAAGTAAATTAATACAGCTTTTAGTAAATTAATACAGCTTTTTGTTTCCTGGAACCCTACTGTGATTTTTTTTTTGAAAACAATTCATTAGTTTAAACTACTGTTCTTTAATTACACTTATTTTTTCAGTAGCAGTTGTCCAAATTCTTCTGTGATGTGACACTTTTGCTAGCCAAGGACCAGGTAAAATGATGAGTATATTATTCACTGTTATTTGAATTTTGATAATATCTGGGATCACTGCACACTGTGCTAGAAACTCTGCACACACTGAGATGAAAAGGCAGTTCCTGCTCTAAAGAACTTCTATTTGTGAGTCTCGTGTTGCATCCTTTCCTGTTTATCTTCTGTTTTCAGGAACTTTTGCTCTTGCACAATTCATCCTACATATCTAAAGCCTCATGTACCTTTATAGTGGTTAAATATATTGCAAGCAGAAGGCAAGCAAGTTGGCTGCGAGCACATTTCAAGCTGCTTTCTCTCTGATGACCTTCTTCCATGCTCTTTCATGCTCTTTCATCTCTAAATTTAGCTGGCTCCTGAAGGGGGAGTCTAGCAGGTTCAGTGACACAGGAAACACTAATGGAGAGACAGTATAAAATCACTCTTCAAAGCACAGTACCGATTACAAGACAGCATGATTGCTATCCTGTAGCCAAGTGAAGTTTATTTTATGAAATTGCACCCTTCCGAGACTAATAAACCATAATAGACCTTCACTCATGGCCAACACATGCATCACAAGAGCARAAGTATTTCTTAAGGGCTGAAACCCAGAAGCTGGAAATGTGCTCAAGCTGATGCTGCCCTGCCCACATTTGAGCAGCTGATGTTACAGCTGCCAGGCACAAGCACAGTGCAGAGCTAAATATGAAGCTCCATCTTTTTAATAGCTGCCTCGGTGATATCTACTGAGGAGAATGTGCGGCAGAACCACAGAAAATGTTTAAGAATATGGAATAAAKTGTTGGGAATTAGGAAAGCTTTGTAAAAATACCAGAGTGTGATTGGGACAGGATGATGTAACTATACCAAACAGAAGGAAACTGCAGGAAAGTTATATTGCTTTAAAATTTAGCTTAGCATTTGCAGATAACAATAAATATGGCAAGACAGGAAAAGTTCTGTGTTGCTTTGGTGAGAACAGTAGCAAGTAACTTGATTTCTTGGTTCAAATACATAAAATCTCACTGAGAGAATAATAATATATGTGATATCATAGCTTTCTAGCTTTTAAACATCTTTGTTTTCAGAAATTAGATTTCCAATATTCTAGTCAAAGAAAAATCACCTTTCTTTGAGGAAACAGCCCAGAAAAGAGAGCCCAGAAAATTTGTTAATTCTTTCTTTAATAAAGCGGGCTAGATGCTCTTCCAGAGTAAAGATACAAAGTTCCACAACTACATGAATACCCAGTCAAAATATGACACTGCCTTTCTGCAGTACATACAACTGACATGACATGCAAGAGATCTGAAACAGTCATAAATCACAGATGTGAGATCCAGTCCAACCGTCTCAGATACATATCTTTTATCCCATTTTAGTTTTCATCAGTAATTTCCAAAGTGTATTATTTTCTATCCAGTTATTTTTATCTATAAACATTATGAGCAGGCCGTATTSGAAGAAAAAGAATAATTTTGTATTGAACTGAGAATTTCTTTCTCGGTGTATCCCTATCATAAGGCAAGACAGGATGATGATCTGACATTTTGTATAACTTACAGGTTCCTGGCTTAATGACGATATAAAACTTAAACTATCTTCCCAGTATGACCAAGTAACAGAGACTACATATTTGAGATGTGGAAGAACATGGTAAAACCAAAGTGGTTTACTCCATTGTAGTTCACTCTTACCTCATTCATATAATCATATCCCTTTTCGTTAGAATTTTATCATATCCCATGGCATKATAAGCATTCAGCTCATTGGTACTCACTGAACAGTGAAAACTTGTTAGAAACTCCAGAGTTTTTTTATACTTTAAGCACTGCTTTAAAATATGCAATATTAAAGATACAACTGACTTACAAAAATAAAAGAACTGTACAAATCACACGTTCATTGGCAATGAGACTGCTCAAGCAAACTGCAACATGATCCCTGAAACAAAACACCAGAACAGATATTGAAAGAATGATTCTTAAAAAAATAAAAAAGTAAAAACATTTCCCCCTGCCAAAGTACTGGAGTCTTTGAAGGCTTATGTATCACAGGACATAAAACTTCTCTTTTCCCTGTCTCCATAATATTTCTTCCCTCTTTCCACAGGTAGCTCTTGAGCAGGTTGTTGCTGATGAGGCGCAAGCCTTGCTGAATGGGTTAAGGCTAGAAAAGCGTGGCGGATCTAAATAAATCAACAGTCACTGATTTAATCCCCTGGCGTTCATGCAAGCTCAAGGAAATAAAATAAACCTGAAGACAGGCATGCATGTTGAATTCTGAACCGGTTTGCTATCAAGCTTAAAGCTAAAGCAAAATAAACACCTCTCCAAAGTGTTATGCATTTCAGTCTTTCATCCAAATAATCAGTCGTCTGACTGTTCCTATCAGCCTGCCGCACAGGCGCCGTGCTCTGCCTGCTCATAACATTCAAATAGTTTTTTCATTTTACAAGGCACATACAATCTCAGAAGAATTACATGGTGGCTTGKCAGTGTGCAAGGGGATGGCAGCTACTATGCAATTACAGCACAATTATCTCTTCATTTCAGTCACAGACACTCAGACCTTGTAAAATTTAGGACCAGCAAACTACATGTCACCTTATCTTGGAATACTCTACTTAACTCCATTTACAATTACAGACTAATCAGCAACTACCACTTATTAATTGCCTATTAACATAAGCTTTGCCATGCAATGACAAAGTTATTGCATGGTATTCTGTATATGTACCATAAAATTAAATAATACTTTTTTTTTTTGCTGTTGTTTACAGAGTWACTTTATAGCATTCTTTCATAGGGATAGTTATATATAAGTCCAGAAAGAACAGTTCATCAGTTTATTTTTGCAAATTCCAAAAGAGTTTAAAGGGATCAGCAAGTAAAACTAAAAAACCAGAAAATTTATCTACTTGAAATAAGATGATTAGATGTACTGTGTATTTGATGTGAAGGAATCTTTTCCACAGGAGCACAAGTCATAGAGTTCATCAGAAAAATTGTTGGTTAATGTTGCTGCTCCATTTTCTTTAACTAGAAATGTAGACATCATATAGGCATATTTGTAAGCAGAATCTACAGACAGAGTAATGAGACATAAAGTGCTTTTAATTATGAACATTTCATATCTCTTTGCACCCTTCCCTGGTAAGTTATCATACTTAAGCTAGTTTTAGTTCAACTGGCTCAGGTTTATACTACCAGATACTGCAATTTCCCTTGTACCTACTATTTTGACCTCAAAGATCTCAGCCAAACCAAAACTAATTCATGCCAAGGAGAGATGAGGGGAAGGGACGCACTGAAACTTTCAAAGGAAAAAAAGGAGTAGGCAGAGGGAAATTAGGCTCCATTGTATAGGTCCCCAAGGAATTTGTAACAGATACTTTAGCACAATGTTGAGGAGCAAGTGAAAATGGAACACAAACCGGTGTCTCTAACACACTTCAAGTCACTGTCAGATGCAAATGAGGAAACTAGGAGTCCTCAACAGAGCATAAGCCTGGAGTCAGGATGATGCTTTTATACTGACACATCTCCTGTTTTGCTAAGCTCAGTCTCTGAAGAAATAGTACCTTTTACCCCTCAGAAAAGCCAGCCTGGCATATTCAGTAAATGGAAGTTATTAAATCTGGCTTGCCTTTGCCACTTCAGGTCTGGTGCCAAGTATCTATGTATTTCCTAATCCATTACAGTACTCAGCACATACTATTCTATGTACCAGGAAAGCAACAGATCTACAGTAATAAAGCTCCTAAGATAATTCTAAAACTAAGTCTAAATGTATATTAAACCTGGGGTTTACTGGATTTTTATTTAAGGCAATCATTAAGGTTTGTATTCTTTCGATGAGTTGCAACCAACTTTATTTATTTWTTTTAAGTGAGGCTTTTGGGAGCTGAAGTGGGTTACCTTTATCTACTGCCTGCCTTTCGAATCCAAAGAATTACCCAGCCCCTGGAATCCAAGCAATTTGAACTGAGGTGGCAACTGACCTCTCCATCTGTCCTAGCCTGCTTCTTTAGAGGTCCAGGGGGCTGACAATAGTAAAATCAGAATCTTTGCTGTTGTTACTACTGTCATCATCAGGGCTGGAGCTCAGGTTACTGGAGGAGGCTGACATGGAGCCCATCAACGGATCAGAGAATATCAAAGAACAACGAGATGGAGCTTCCTGCTTCGCTGGTGCCTCCTTGTGTGGCGGAAGGGTCTGCGCTGGCTGCCGGGCACTGCTTTTAGATCCTTCCTCTTCTTTGGAAACCAAAATATAGTCATCAGCACTCTTACTTTCACCGGTGCTYGAGTCAGTTGTAGCCTGTAAGAAAACAGTACAGCAAGTTAAAGCTGTAAGGGTTAAAGCTAGTACCAGTTTTACCATTTAAAAAGGTTTATGACACACACTGGTAACTCTGGGCATGGGATCTAGGAATGATCATTATCTAAGAGCAGCATAGGGTTAAAAAATAAAGTAGGTGTTAACTTCAGATGAAATGATCTGTTATTTACAAAACTGTACAAGTTAGCATGCCAGGTATACATTCTCGAGCACAGGAGTCTTATAAGTTTCCTTATCCTAGTACTTCCATGCAGTGACCGTGGTGGCCAGTTATCCGACACACACACTACGGTTGTGAAGATTCCAGGTTTCACACTGTTACAACTTCTCCATAGGCATTCACTCAGCAGTATTAYAGAACATTTTGCTGGTTTCCATGCAGAATGGTATTTTGCAGTTCTCCTGGAGAAAGGCTTGATACAGAATTTCCTAATAAAACTCTGACCTGTGGAATTGGAGCTGTACATATGTCTGGTTCAGTGTGCAACAGTTTGGGCTGTGCTGACTGGAGCCCCAAGGTGTCTAGACTCAGCACCATGGGCAAGGGGTTGAACRCTTCTCATTTCACCTAAAAGAGGCTCCAGGAGCCCCTTGTTCTGCCTGCTTCAACCCGAGGAATGTGCACCCCTGAGGCTCTAGTAGTGGGCAAAACTGCATGACAGAGTAGCAAAAAAATCCTCTATGAACTGAAAATCTCATATTTAGATCAGCTGTATTCAGGAGAAGTCTGGTTTGTCAATACAGGGAGCAAAATGTAATTAGAAGGCAATACTGTCCTATTCATTACCGTGGGAATTCTCTGTTGCTGACAAAACTGGCAGCTGACACACACGYGACCCAAAAGGACAATTTTCTGTTTTCTTCTGCACGTGCAGATGGATTCATTTCCTGCACAGAACTACTGAAACCAGTATATGTGATTACACTGATGCAAGACTGAGAGAAGGGAGACAAACTTGAGGGTCAACTGGAGAAACGTGTGTGTCAACATGTACGTCAAATACAAGCCCTTCAGCTGCGACTCCTGCGACCAAATCAAAACAGTAAATTCTCTTTGGAGGAAGAGAGGTGGCAGGTATTAGTCAGGAAGAAAAGGGAGCATTAGCAAAAAAAAAAAAAAAAAAAAAAAAAAATTTCTTGTTGGACATTGTTTCAAAAAAAGAGAATACCCCTTGTTTGTGGTATACTTCTCTATTTATGGTACAAATGAGGATAAACTAGAGCTTTGGTGACAGAAGAAAAAAAAAAAAAAAAAAAAAAAAGAAAGAAAATAAGAAAGTGTAAGAGTCTGGATAAAGTTAGTCTCACAGCACAGTACATAAAATTATGTATGTCATCAGATGTACTAGTAAGTGCAACTTGGATTTAAGCTGTTCTTGGCCTCCAGCAAAGCTTTTAGACATATTTTTTATTACATCTGAAAACTATTTTCCGATGCCTAGATTACACATTAAAGAACAGAATATTCTTGAAAGGGGTCGAAARAGTTGCTTAGGGAGGAAAACCCACTAGTCATTAAGAACAAGCTGTAGTAAGAAATGAGAGCTGAAAGTTTTTGGTTATTATTTACAGTTCTAAATTCCTAAAGCTCACAACATAAATACCTGAATGTGAAAGCACATTCAAATACACAACTGTGATTTGCTTCCTTAAAAAAAAATCATATAAATACAAATACAGGTATTTCCACTGTAGTCAGAATTTTGAAATATTCTGTTTTAAAAAATTATAACATAWTTTTCATGTTATCTAGATGTTATCTATTATTATCTATTATTGTCTTATCTAATAGATATTATCTATAATATTATTGTCTTTTGTAAATCACTTACTCTAGTGTTTTCTTATTTAAAGGGAAATAATCTGAACTTTGGAGCACTGGTTACAATCTGAAAGGTCCCAGCACAAGGCASCTGTCAGACTGATGCCGATTTTATATGTTATTCCTCAATACTTACTCATCTTCCTCAAAAGACTTGATGGAATTCACATAAACATTAACAAGCAGATTAATTTTAAAAATACCATGAACTGTAAATACTGAATGCAATCAAAACTAAGCTCCATCTCATAYGGTATAGAAGCACGTAGTTCAAAAGCGAGTAAACAACTTTAATTACTTACCATGAAGACACATGAATGCCAAACAGATTTACCCTACCCGGAGAGATGCTTCACTGTTTAAGCACTTCTGATGTAAGACACCATTCGTTATTAATTAGTGCTTTGCTTTCATCTGGTCTGTTTGAATTAGTGTCCTCATTAGCCGCCCGCTCGGCCGCTGCCACCTCCGGGGCCGGCTCCGGCTTTGCTCCAGCACCGCGCTGAGACCGGGCTCAACGGTTTGGGCAAGGTCTGGCTGCTGGGGCTCCTCTGGGAGCTCTGGATACCCCTTCGAAATTCCTCTGCTTTTTTTTCCTCTGTGCAACAGTTCCTTTAAGCAACAACTGTTGACCTAGTTCACCTGGCTTCTCCTCACACTTCTATTTAAGAGCTCTGGATGAACACAATGCAGTCTTCTTCTGCAAAGTTAAAGGCTTTATTATACCAAGCTCTTTCCACATTCACAACTTTACCATTCAAGAGGGCTTCACTCTTTATACGGCGACAAAAGCCAGTGGCTCCCTCCCCTAATGCAGCCAGTGTTTGCCTGCTGCCATGGCCAACAGGTTGACTGCCTTCTGGCAGAAAACATCGTCATTAACACTTTGGGCTTTAGTTGCAATTTCCTAATTTCTGCTTCAACAAATGTGCTCTTGCACAGTTAAAAAAAGAAAAACTCTACCCTTTAATAACAGGGGAAAAAAATCATCCCAATTTCTTTTCATTAGTGCTGTGGTCTGGAACAGTCCATGAGTACTGTGCTTTTGATTTTTTGTTCTACCCATATTTTTGGCTGTAGATTAAGGAGAACTATATCTCACTGAAGTATCAGAAAAGCAACAAAGCACTTATATTGACACCAAAATGGTATTAAAGGGCCCGGTGTAAATGTTTGCCTACCCCTAGAATATACCGGTATTTTGGTGGCGATATTTTCAGAAGTAAAATATCTCCCCCTTCTTGTTCGGCCCTGTTTCTGTTTCAGGAAACTCATGCTGACGTGAACCATGTTTTCTCCCATCTGCTGCCACTACTGAATAAATGAAAAATGACAGAATTATATTTCCAGTAGCTCTGAAAGTTAACAACCTTACGCCCGTTGCCATATGGCTTCTCCAAACATTTTTTCCTGAGGAATATCAGCTACTAGTACCAGGCTTATTTCAATTGCCTCCATACTGTGAATGAGTTAAAACTTGCTGCAAGAACACAATTCAAGTAGGCTTAGAGGAAGAGCAGCTCATTTTGGTTCGTCTTTGAATCGACATAAAGGCAAGATAATGTGTTAATTATCATTCATTATTTAGCAACAGAAGCCTTCTGTTTGTCAACTGTGCACTGCTACCACAGACAAACATTCCAACAAAGGCTGTACTTCCTTGAGCCTTTTGCTTATTTTTTTTTCATTTGAAGTTTTCCTCTTTGCAAATAAGCACTGTATCCTTATCCTCATTTTCTGGAAAGGGACATTGAGGCAAAAATAAAGAAAAAAAAAGTGGGTTGAGAAAGAACACATTTAAAATAAATTAATAATGATAAACACCTTGTATTCATATCGCAAGCAACACAAAAGACCAAATTTCAGTTTTGATTATAACACAGTAAATCACCCCTAACTTTTTCAGTGGTCCTAGAAATCTACCTATAATTGCACCAGAGCAGAATTTCTATAATGTAAGTCATATTAAATAGAATTACACACATATTGAAAACCACAACAAATGTAAATATGGGTAAGTTTATTTAGCAAGAAATATATTAAATGGGATAGAAGTGTCTAGAACTTTTTAAGTCTTCCACAGCKCCCAGTGTGACCCTGAACAATTAGGACAACCCATTTTCGTCASTGGAATAAAAGGCTGGGCAGGAGCCCAATTTGGTGGAAACTGCTCCCCTCCCAACAATTACGAGCCTCGCTTCACAGCCTGCTAAACTTAGCCATTTTATCTTCCTTTTTATTAAAAGGTTTTGTGAAAAGCTGTTCTCTTTTCATTTTAAAGAATGTCCTTAAACAAGCTGGGCTCAGACACAGTGCAAAGCAGAGGGATGCTCACCCTCCTCCTGGAACTTAGTGCTGCTCCCCTTCTAAACCTAATCTTTTATTTTTCTTTCTGTAATAGGCTGTTGCTCATTATCATAAYTGGGACTTGCAGAAGATAAGATTGGAGAAGGCTAATCTTATCTTATGCCTGTGTATGTATCTGTAAACATAAACCATGCAGAGCTGAAGCCTCATTAAGTTCTCGGCGAGCTCAGATGCTACAGCCTTCACTCACGTTGCTCACAGCTCCTTCATTAGCGCTGTTATCACAGGGTCCATCTAAATTGTGGGACCCCTGAATCCATCTCTGGATGCATATACTGGGGTGAGAACTCACTGCCACTCCAGTTGCCACTGGAAGGAAGGGAGGAGGGTTATTCCTGCATGGATTTGCAGGGAGCTGTGCCTCTCCTGCTCCCCTCCCAATGTGCCATGTCCTCCAGTCCCTCTGCTCAGTGACATTTAGACCAGCACATGAATAAGGGCTTCTTCTGCACAAGTCAGGTTTGCACACACTAATACACCAGGTTGTTTCATCCTCTATTCTACATTTCAGTTGCTGTAACAGGTCCCATATAAAGCTGCCAAACAAGTGCTATCTGTCATTTTGGTGTGAAAGACATTTTTGTATAAAATGCAGGTAGATAAAAGGAGGAGGGCATTATATGAACACTCAAATATGCTATCATTAGAGTTTAACSTATGCCTTTAATATGGCAGAGGCTACTGACTCTGACTGTAACAATGACGAAAGCCAAAGGAGCAATTACTTTTAGCTAAAATTTTTTCTTTGAACTTGTAATTCTTTCTTAAAATAAGAAATTGAAATACAATTAAAATACAATTGTGTATAATAAATCAAAACAACTTATGTCACTACTTTAAACTCAGTAAATATTCTCTTTTCTAAGTAAACTTCTCAAAAGAAAACTGATTGCAGAATCAATTAGACTGGAGTGTTGCCACTGATTTTCACTGAAATGTGAATATTAGTAGTGAGATGATAGACAACGCCAGAACTTTAATATTGAAAAGTATAAAAATGCACTTAGAAAAAGCTACTTGTTTTTAAGAACACATCTGATGTGATCTGAGCCTTAGACAGAGAGGCACTTATGCATGCCTTTTAACATGAGGCAAAAACTGCCTTTGTGTGTGAACTTGCCCTGTAACTGTAAGTTTTGTATGTGAAAACTATGTTTACTGAGTCAAGAAGACAATACAAAGAACTCTTAGCAAGGAAATGGAGCAGAAGGTAAAAGCAACCTCCTAGCTATTTCCTTTCTGGCACTTAGCATGGATGCACTGCAGTGCAGATAATCAGCTGTTACATAACACAACTGTGCAGGACAAACAATGAGTAGAATCAGCGGATATAGGAATATTTACCTCCGTTTTTCATATCTTTTTAGGTGTAACTGACTTGTTAAGAAGCATTCAATGTTTGGAAGACAAACAAACAAAACTTCCCCTAATACTTTATAAAACTTTGACTCAATTACCTGTGTGTGGAGCATAAGCTTCCGCTAACAAAACCAGTGGGAGCAGGACAGTAGTCAGAGAGAAACTTCAGAGCACAGCTCTACATGCAGCAGCATTCCTGGGTTTCTGGTGGGAATTTGAGTGCTCTCATGACAAACAACCACTTAGCAAGACCCAAGTKAGGCTTCTGTTCAAACCCTGCTTTTTTATACAAGTGTGCTGCAACTGGTGTATTTCTGTGTAATGTCCAGACATGTAAAAGAAAGTCTGCAAAAATGTAAGCCTAATTCCATCAGTGGCCTGTTGGAAATGTTTGTAACTTACCTGAGGTCTCGGGATGCACTGTTGCTTTGTCATAGCAGATTCCTTCTGGACTTCACTTGTCCCCTTGTCCTGGTTGTTGGAGCAGTAGTGGTCATCTGCTATCGTGATTTGCTCATTTTCTTCAGCTTCCAGTTGGCTCTGGTTGAAACGCAGGGAACCTTTCAGAATATCCTTGATCTGTTGTTGAACGAGAAGGGAGAGAATGCAAATTAGAAACTTGGAGCAATTCTGAAATTTTCTGAATCTCATTGCAGAAGGCTTTCATATACCATTTCCCCATAATATCTGCTTTGAAGAGGCGGTTGGTAAGTCACTATTATTACCCATATTAGATGTAAAATGCAATTGTATCTGGTTCTGGAAAACAATTATCTAATAAAGGTAAAAAGAATGAAATCACTAAGATTTTTCTCTGTGTCACCCTTAACATTATGCTTGCTCCTGATAAAAAATGTATTTCACAGCTCAGCTTGGTAGCACTCTCATTGTAAATATATAATATTTACAATGTATATATTGTAAATATATATTTACAATGATGATTGTAAATATATAATATTTACAATAATGACCCAAATGTCATTACATCATTGCACCAGTGCAATGACACCCGATGTCATTACATTTAAAAAAACGTGGTCAGAAGCATGTAGTACATGCTTAGTATGAACAATCTGCATCAAGAAAAATGATGGTGTGGTTAATGTTCCAGAACTTGGAACTGCAGCGCCTCAGTTCTGCTTTGATATTGTCACAACTTTTCAGGGAGAAAACGTGCAAGTCATCTTAACTTCTTACAGCTTAATTTTACCTTCTAAATAAAAGTGCTCKGCAGGGCTCCATACATTAGCATTTGCAAAAGAGCTACAACAGAAGTTAACCAATAGCTATACCTGTTTCAAACCAGCCAGGGAAACCAGAATTTCATCTTCTTTTTCCAAGCGTTCTTGTAATATAACTTCCTGAATATTTCCTGCAACAGCAAAACAAGAGAGACTTGCTAAGTAATCTGTAATGTACTGCCATCTTAGAATGGACTCATGTTCTCAGAATCCAATCCTGTGGCTTGCAAAAGCATTTTCAYGCTCCCACCTAGATGGTGACAACTTCACTAGCTGTGGTGGTTAGGGGAGTGAAAGCCTGTCACTGATGTCAAGACTCCTAATAATGTCCAGCAGCTGATGGATTTCCATTGCCTGAATGCCCTTGCTCTGTTGATGCCTAGAAAACAATTTGGTTCCTGTGGCTCACGGAGGGGCATCCATGTTTGATTCTTCAAATGCTTTGGAAGCTCTCAAGAACATTTTCAGGAATCYGCTCGGCTCTTGGGATGGGCTGAGTAGGAGCTCAGCAATTTTAGATCCTGTGGCCACCGTGGATGCTCTTGTTTTAGTCACAAAACTGAAAGCGTCGTTCTTTATTGTTCCTTACCTGACCCTCTTCATATTAAGTAGGGTAGAGCTAAATCTACCCTACTGTGTGACAGAAAGCACAGTACAGTACTAGCACTTTGGAAGACTCCTGTCTTCCAAACCTATAGAGTTGTCCTGCAAGGCTGCACTTCAGTACACTGCTATATAGTGCTTGCTGAGGGCAGGGTTGGAGGCTGCAGGGACAGCAGGGACGAAGCTGTGACACATCACGTCCTGAAAATCCCAGGCAACGTTGCAGGCCAAACCAGCCCACAGCTCAGATAGTTCTGCAGACTCTTTAAGCTACATCAGGTCCTTCACCAAACTCCCAACTCCTCTCTTCCTCCTCAGTTCTCTGAGAAAGCGCAGTGATTCTCAGCAACTGATTTACTGAACGAGATAATAGCTGTCACCTGAAGATGACAGGATAGGCTTTTGTGCCACTCCTYTCCTACTTGCATAGCATCAGTGCAAATCCTTCAGGGACACTCGCTTGGGAGCAAAGCCCTGCTGCTCTGAACTGCAGCATCCCAGGTGCTTAACAATCAGAGCTTTGTATCCTTAATCCCAGCATGTGTTGCCTCTGTTTGCTTTTAAACACATCCTGCCTGCCGAGGGACCAAACCAGCGAAAAGCCAAAAACATTGTCACAGATTATGCTGACAAGGATGAATATGATGCTGCTGGCAACTCTGACACAACATCGGGTTTCAAGGAAAAATATTGAGCAATTTGGCTTAAGTTTTGTGTTTACAGAATAAATAGCTAAAGCATGAGATGAAGGAGGCTGGATAAGGAGAAGAGAGATTACAAAGAGAAATGTGCACTTAAAATTTACATATATAGAGAGAAGTTTGACCAAGAAAATCTGTAGCTGGTAAAAATATAGAACAGAAAGGGCAAGAAAGAGACGGGATCCAAGACTAAATAAGAGAATGAAAGAGGCTAGAGCCACACAGTGCAGTGGATGACAGTTCAAGAACGAAGTAAGCGTGATCAAGGTCAAGAGCAATGACAGGGTGTGATGGCTCAGTTTTGCATTAGCAGCCTATCTAAACAAGGAGAGCCAAGTTTATAGTATTTAGCACTTGCACCATAAAACAGCAGCAGCACTGAGGTCAAACCTGGTATACTTGAACAATGTCAAGCTCAAATCTTATGAGACAAGCAGTATCATAAAGACATTAGGAAGGCATGTAATGTAAGCTTTTATTTTTTTATAAGTATGTAGCATCGTGAACTGACTGCAAGCATAAATAATTCATCTTTTATTTATCATATTTTACACCTTAATTGTGTAGTCTCTCAGTTTGCTAAGCAAAAGGTAATAGTATTTGCTGACAAATATTAAAATGTGTTACTTACAGAACTACTATGTTAAATCTTGACTTGCACTGTTTAACAAGCAGTGCACAATTTTTCACTTCTTTCAGAACTTTGAACATCARAAGCCCAAAGTCCAAGTCCTCCTGGGCAGGTAAACAATGTTTAACCACAGCCCGAGTCATTGAATTCAACTCTCTTTTTCGTTTCTCAGCACTAAAAGAATTGCTGTAGTGTTTGATCCCCACATATATTAAAGACATGCATTAGAAACTCAGGTGTGCATARTGACTAAGCAGATGGAGCAAGAAAATAATTCAGAACCAACTTCAAATCTATTAAAGGCCAAATGTTGGAAGCTTAAATRAAACAAAAGCTGAAAGTTGTTCTAYGTGATATGGAAATAATCCACTATTATTTTTCTTCTTTGTAGGCGTATTTTTAAGACAGTATTTCAAAAGAATGAAAAAAGAAAACATTTCTATATAAAAAAGCTGTAACTATGTTTGAAAAGTCAATATATTGAGAAATTTCTAACAACTTATAAATAAAACTATGATAGTCAGCAGCAAATATTAATAGAAATTTTCATATCACATATTTGCTCTAGCAAGATTAATAACAAATTCTAACATTAGAGGCAGCAAAAAAAATTAAGAGAAAAGGCTGGAGATACATACACTAAGATTTTATAAACATCAACTCAAAGCTAGGGCTTGAATTTGCAGTTTGTTTTGATGTGCATCATGGCACATCTTGGATATGTATTGTTTCTAGTTTTTATTTGGTTAAAATAATTTTTTTATATATATGTACATATATATCTTTTTTTTTTCAAAAAAATATCATTCATTTTGCTCTGAAAGACCTTCCTGGACTCAAGGAACACACTTTCTTTTTAGACTGAAAAAAATGTATCAGGAGGCAAATCACTATAATCTCATACTTTTACCTCTCAAATGCGTAACAGGTGACAAGAGGTTACAGATTACATTTTTTTTTCAATAGTACAAGGAAGGAGAAYGAAACTTTCCTTAAGGACTTTCTCAGTGCATTTTGCTTCTTCTAASTGTGCTCTTGAAATGTAAAAGGCTTCTAATCTACCACTGTCACCACTCTTGAATGCAGAATTTATTGCCTACCAAGTAAGTACAGAGCCCAAATTTATCAGTGCTCACCCGTTTTCTCCCCAGCTATGGAGTAGAGAGGAATAAAAATTCTGCCCTAGAAGAAAATCCAAAGATGATCTTCTTTTGCAGGACTGTGTCCTCCTGTAACAACACCCCTGAAGATGCATTTGCCTTGGAAGTAGATGTACGAGGAAGAGCAGGGAGGGCGGGATGAACAAGGAAACTAAGCTCTTGAGTGTAGACAAAAGCCTTTTCCTTTTATGTTACTCTCTCACAGCTCCAAAGCTACCTTCGTAACCAAAAACACTTTAAAATTGCTAGCTGTGTTAGGAGTGCTAATGAAGCAGTATGTTGATATGACACTGCTCAGCTGAAGGACTTTCATATTAAACAGTGTTGTATCACTTAATTATTCCTCCTTCACAATAAATGTTGCCAGGTTTTCTGAGAAAGTTACGTGTATCAACAAATGGGCTATATACTGATTTTGTCCCTACTGCTATCCCTATCTGATTGTCTATAATAATATCTCGCTGTTTTAATTAATCCTTTTAATTCAACAATTCCTTCAAAGAAATAATGCAAATATCAACTAGGAACTGAGAACATCTTCCTACCTGTAAAATGAGTCCTGACATGATGAATCAAAAAAATTGATTATGTGACTTTTAGAGTATTCAAAACCCAATTCATTCTCACTCCATGCCATAAATATCCATCTTATTAAAATAGCTGTTTTCATTCAAAATTCATTGTCAAAGAGCATATTCTTTTACGTTTGACAGATATTGGAACCATTAACCAATAACTATTTCCTGATGGATACTGTGAGAGACAGCCCAGATACACTTTAAAGCCAACTGGAGTTACAGAGGAATAACATGCAAATGATGGCATTTTTGTTGTTCTTTCATATGGAACACGGAAAACCAGGTATTATTGTAGTGATTTGGGTAGCAATAGGCTAGATGAAATACCTGATGAATTAAGATGAAATGTATTTTTCATTTCCTACTCTTAATCTCAAATTATAAGTAACTTTACATACAAATTCACCATAGCAGTAGTTAAAAAAAAAAGCAAATTTCTATTTCTACTCGCTAATGTAATTTCTAAAATGGAAATTCCTGAAGACTTTCCATCATTCTGTGTCCAAAGATGACAGAGTGGAATTATCCACAGCAGCTCCTCACAGTAAAATTAGGGAAGGCTCATGCTCTTTGATGACTGAACTGCTACACATTGCACCAAGATGTGCACAGTCACTGCCCGCTGCCCCAGCTAGGGAAAGTGGCTGTAACAAATATTAGATTTAGAGGTCAAATTTCCTCTCTGAGTGTGGCAAAAGTGGTGTGCTCAGCCTAATTACTCAGCCTAATTTTAGCTGCCCATTAAATCAAATAACAACGACTCAAAATGCAGCAGGCATTCAATACAGATTGTGCAAACGCATCCAGAGCTGTGTTAAATTAAGGCAGGCAGCGGCATTAGCAGGAAAACTAGTCTGTGGGGGACAAGGTCTTCTCAGGCAGCTCTTCATGTCTGTATATGTGGAAGGAACTTTAGAGTAACTTCAATGCCCTTGTCCTCTTGGGCTGTTTGTTCCTGTGCTTCCTTGCTGCCTGTGGGAAGCACATCTGTCTCCTGCTGATTTCCATTTTAACCTGGTCTGTGGTGTCTTTCCAGGAAGATGTCACCTGCTGAGAGAGGCTAACTAGAAATAGCTGCAGGCTTTAGAGTGGCCGCTGCCCTTGCAGCGCCAGCTCCTGATCCGCGACTTGTAAACAAGCAGCGGTGCCAGAAGGATGGTCAAGCGGCTTTGCGCCTTCTCTTCCCTGCCTGCTGTTACCGAGAAGACTGTTCAAAGTGTAAAAGAATGTAAAAAAAAAAAAAGACATTGTTATTACCAAGGTAGTCAGCAGTAAGGAGGCATAGAATCCTTTGGCTTTGCATCTTTCCAAAAAAATAAAAAAAGGCATAAAAATCCGACAGATATATCAGCTCCTCTGCTTCAGGCTACAGAGCTACGGATTCCAAACCTTTTGTCAGATCCTTTTTTATGAAAGCAGTGTTTACAGAAAATACTTGCAACGTTTTCTGTATGGTAT